GTACAATACTTTTTAGTGTACATTATTCATATAAATTATATTATTTATATATTTAATTATATTTCTGTCATGACAACTCTCAGAAAGTTTAGCATGGTAATATACATGGCAATGTTAACGTGTTTGGTCTTGATAGAATAGATCTGCTATACTGCTGCTGCATTTGCTGAGACTTGTTACTGCCAATACATCCACAAACCTGCTGCTGTGAGCATGTAAGAAATACTGCTGGTGCACATATAACATATGAAATAACCCTCATGTTAACATGCATGAAATTATACCATAGCAGATCTATACAGGTGGAGCTGGGGAAGGTGAAGCGTATATATCCGTTGTGAATATGTATCTTTAATTACACATTGTCGTATTAACAACTAGTGAACAAACAGACTGAAGTGAACTGAAATTGTTTAGAAACTTTTTAATTTTAAAATTGTAAAAATAAAAAAATTTGAAGATTAATGACGGAAATATTTTTTCCTCCCTAAAACGTACGTTGTTTTATTTACAATTTCAAATAATAAAAAACATTAAAAAAAAGTAAAAAAACAAAAAAAAAAACAATTACAGTGTGGTTCCGTAAAGGAGTCACTTGTGAACTCTCTGAACAGTTCACTAAGTGAATCTGATTCAAACAGCTAATTCGAGCAAGTTTGAGGCTGTTTTATGATTTTGTCTGACTCATTTAAAATTACCGGTTCAGTCATTGAATCAGACATCACAGCTCGCTAATGTTGTTGTGTGCAGAAAAAACTGGCATGCGTGCCATACTTCCATACTCCTTTTGTATGGAAAAAGCGCAGCTTGGTCATTCTGCTTAACATCTAATTTTGTGTTACATAGAAAAGAGAAACAAACATAGAACTGGAATGACATAGGGGTGAATAAATTAAAAAATTTTGGGTGAACTCTCCCTTTTAATCAGTTTAGTAATTAACTAACACACATGGTCAATTTTTGACCTCTTGTTAAATGTGATGCTGGTGATGCTCTCTTGACATAAACCCACATTTACCCCCACACAAAGAGACAATTAAATCTACTAGGAAGCGACCCACATCTCTCTCCATAAACAATCATCATCAACAACAGTTTGTTGCTGTGTGTATCTCATAAATTATTTAATATTCTCTATTACCCTGAACTCTTTATTTACCTCCCTTCCCCCTCTCCTTTGTTTTCCTTTCCTTGCACTCTCCTTCTTTCTCTCCTCCACAAAGATCTTCAGAGGTAAGACTATACTCCTGAGACCAGCCTTGTCTCCTAACCACTGAGGCTTCAGAGAGCAAAACGTGTGTGTGTGTGTGTGTGTGTGTACACAAACTGGTTTATTTCTGATTGGCTGAGGTGAAACGAAGCAGAGGGCTCTGAGAGTAATTGGAGCAGAGGGGATTGTGGGATTGATCCATGCTTGAAGCAGCGTTAGAAAGACAGAGTATCAAGCTAGCAGTCCAAACGACAGGTTGAGTTCCAGAACGAGAAGAAACCAACATCAGTTTTCCTGACCGGGAAACATTGATGGGATGACACTGACAGGAAGTATTGGGAATAGCTGTCAAAAACCAGCTTGATCGAAAGTATGTTAGAAGAGAGAGAAGGAAAAATCTAAAGAAACAGTGTGTGTTGGCGGTTCATCTGAACTGTCATCAATCACTTAGTTACTGGATATGAAACTTTCAACATCAAAAGAATGTTCTCTAAAGATGAACTTTTTGCTTTGAATGAAACAGACAGTTTCCTTCAGTAGGACTTAATATTAGCTCTTCAAGACTGCATCGTGAGAGAAAAAGGGATCAGGAGTGAAAATACCTCAGAAGCTCTTTTTTTGGTCAGCAAGTTTGGAAAGGGATCAAGTGCCAATGAAACAGAGAACAGTTCAGCACTTTCCATGGGCTCATATAAAGCTTATCTTTTGTTTTGAAGATAAAAAATCTCATATCATTCATAACTTTCTATGCAACACAAGACAATAACTCAGCCACTTTTTAACCATGAATATGAAGGGCTACGGCAGTGCATTAAAGGAATAGTTCACCCCAAAATGAAAAATTTGCCATTAATTATTCTAGGGCTGCCACTAACGACTATTTTTATTTCGATTAATCTATCGACTAATTTATCGATTAATCCAAGCGATTCATTTCCCACAAAAAAAAATCAACAATTTTACTTAAGAATATTTTCATTAAACCTAATGAAGTCCTTTTTTTAAAGCAAAAGTAAAGTGCAACATAGAGTGCAAAAAGCAAGTGTCCATCTCATAGTCCAAATCACTGAAATCAAAGTTCAGTATTATAGTGTAAGAATGACAACATAT